CCTGCTAAGCACAGCACAGCTTCCCAAACCTTGGAATCAGATTGGACACAACCACCCTCATTTCCTGTTCACACTTTTTTTCCCATTTATTTGAGAGAGAGCAAGCGAGCGAGTGCAGCTGGGAGGGGCAGAGGGAGAGAATCCCAAGCCGACTCTGCCCTCAGTGTGGAGCCCGATGTGGGGCTCGATCCCATGATCTGAGCCGAAACCAAAAGTTGGATGCTTAACCGGCTGTGTCACCCAGGCACCCGTGTTCACACTGACTTTTCAGGGGTACTTGCTTACCACCAAAATGTCAAAAGATTCAGTTTCCCAAAGATAGCTCATCAAAAAGAATGCAGTGTGGTGCAATATAATGTTGAAACTGAACTCTCTTGAGCTAATAGTGAGCACTGTACAACAGACAGCCCCAATGGCTGCATTTCCCTTGAAAAATAAAATATCCTTTGGCACCCTTGTGAATTTGCTGCAGTGCCCTGGGGTGCCTTGGTGCACAGTTTGGGAACCAAATGTATTCACCAAATCTCTGCTTCTCACTCCATTCCACTTCACCCCTCAGTTTATTCAAAACTATGGTCAAAGCTGCTTAGCCTCAAACCAAATAAAAATGCACCCCAAAACTGCCAAGCCAGGTTGGTCTTCACTTCAAGGACTATTTTAACAGTGTATTTTGAGAGCTGCAAAGCAATTACCAGGTCACTAGCAAGAAGTTCTAAAAAATAAACTGTTCAGGGGCGCCTGGGTGTCTCAGTCATTAAGCGTCTGCCTTCGGCTCAGGTCGTGATCCCAGGGTCCTGGGATTGAGCCCCACATCGGGCTCCCTGCTCAGTGGGAAGCCTGCTTCTCTCTCCTCCACTCCCCCCTGCTTGTGTTCCCTCTCTCGCTGTCTCTCTCTCTCTGCCAAATAAATGAATAAAATAAAAATAAATAAATCCTTCTTTAAAAAAAGTAAAAACAAAACCAAACTGTTCAATACAGAGGGACTGGTGACCAGACGCACATTTTGGGGCTCTTTTTGGCCGAGATGTGAAGGATAAATCAGAAGGGAAGACGATGCCGTTGGCCCAACAGGCCCCAGGTAGTTATAGGAACTGCAGCATGAGAGGTAGGGGTAGAGATGTTTGTAAGGCTATTCAACAGGCCTTGGTCTGGATTATGGGGCAGCCCATTCTCCCCGCTAACCTCCAGGAAGTGGTTATCAACCCTGCAATTCTCTTCCTTCCCCTGAACCTGGTTTCTCTCCACTGGTCCCACCCCAGCCTGGGAGAGAGGGTGCGGTGAAGGAAAGCAGTGACATCTGCATCTGACCTCTGTGGCCTGCTTCTCCCTCATTTCTCCTCTCCATCCTACACCAGGCTGGAAGAGGCAGGTGCACTCCTCCCACAAGGGGGAGCTCTTTGTAGTAAATGAGACAATCGCGTGTGACGGCACTGGTTCTTGCTTTGTTCATAGTTTAAGGGACTTGAAAATCTTTTTGAGTAAAGCCTGGCTTTCCATGGCTGTTGGCTTGCTGGGGACTCGTCCATCCCGTTTTGGTGGTCACAAGCTGAACGCTGACTTCTTTCCATTCCTTCTCACACCGGACTGATGCTGCCATTGCACTGTACTATTTTGTCAGAGCATTGATTGCTATCTGAATTATTCACTTCCTGTCTCCTCTCATTAGAATGTGATGGTAGGGACTTCACTGTCTTGTTCAGCAAGCATGTCCACCATTTAAAACAGTGGTACCTAACAAGTGCTCAATAAATATGCGTGGAGTGAATGCATAATGCTTAAAGAATTTGCACATAGAATGTTCTCGATATACAACAGCTAGGAAAAAAAGAAAGAAAACAAAAACAAAAACAATCCAAAAATCCACTAACAAACATTTTAGGGACAAGGTGGTTGGAAGCAAATGAAGAGCCTGCAAGGAGCACAACTCCCAGGAAAGGGGCTCCCAGAATCCACAAGAATTTCCAGATGTCAGAAGGATCAAATGCAGCTGACAAAGCAGGAAGGACCAGAAGGGGGCAGTGGATCAGTGGAGTTCACTGCCGCGTTGGAGGAAAGGAGGCCACTGGCCAGAGCCAGACAGCAGCAGTTGCGGAGTAAATGAGAGGTAGGGGGGTGAAAAGAGTGAGTGGAGACAATCCTAAGGAATTTGGATCTGCAGAGAAAGAGAAGGATGGAGCAGGAGTGTAGGTGCTGCAGGATTGAAGGAAAGCCTTATTTTTTAAATTTTTAAAAAAATATTTGAGAGAGAGAGAGAGAGAGAGAGAACGAGCCAGGGGAGGAGCAGAGGGAGAGAGGGAGGGAGAGAAGCAGATTCCCTGCTGAGTGCAGAGCTCGGCACCAGGGCTCCACCCCAGGACCCTGAGATCACGACCTGAGCTGAAGTCCAACGCTTAACCAACTGGGTCAGGCAGACACCCCCCGAGCCTTATTTTTTAAAAGTTTATATTTTTAGGGGCACCTGGGTGGCTCAGTCGTTGGGCGTCTGCCTTCGGCTCAGGTCATGATCCCAGAGTCCTGGGATCGAGCCCCGCATTGGGTGCCCTGCTTGGCGGGAAGCCTGCTTCTCCCTCTCCCACTCCCCCCTGCTTGTGTTCCCTCTCTCGCTATCTCTGTCAAATAAATAAATAAAATCTTTAAAAAAAATTTATATTCTTAGGGTCACTTGAACATGTTTTGTAGGCTAAGAGTTGAAAGATTCAGAGGAGAGGGCTTTCCTGATTTTTCTGAAATGTGTAAGCTCTTTTTTTTTATTTTCATTTATTTATTCTTTTATCTCTTATTCCTTTCATTTATTTCTTTTATCTCTTCTTCCTTATTCACCTTGTGCTTCCCTTATCGCAGGCATTTATAATCACCTGTCACGTCCCTCTACTAGGGACAAATCTCCGAAAGGCAGGCCTGTGCCTCACGCATATGCATATGGGAAGAGTGAAGTGGGGCCTGAGTGGGGCTAGTTCCCCTCCGGTAGACTGGACTCCCTCCGACCCCTCCCCACCCACCCGAGGCCAGACTCAGTGCTGTAGCCCACAGCCGTCCTGAAGCCCAACAACACTGGCACGCCACTTGAGTTTCCCTTGTAGCTACCTGTGTACATATATCCATCTCTAACACTTACGGCCTCTCCCAGCATTTCCCAACGTATGGTCCACAGACCACCTGCATCAGAATCACCGGGGCTGCTGTAGCAGGGCGATTTCTGGGCCGCACACCTACTGAATCCGAATCTCGGGTAGCGCAGGTGCCTGTAAATGTGCCAGGCCTGGGCTGCATGCCTCTCCTTCATAACATTCTGTGGCCTTCGATGTATCCACAAAACCCCCAGCTCCTCAGGCATTTAGACCTGCACCCACTCTACTGGCTGACTCTGACCTATAAGGGCCTTTGTCCCCACAGCTCTTGTGTCCTCTCCTTTGGCTTGTGCTCACCCCTGCCCATACCCCTCCCCTCTTCCTCCTCCCACCATAGCTGCAGCCACCCTCCAGGCCAGCTCCAGTCCGTCCCGCACAGCTCAGAACCTCTCACTCACACTGTCCCCAGAGCACACTTTTTGGGCCTTCTTGTTTCATGATAAAATGACCAATACCACCTGAGCATATGCATTGCCTGAAGAGATGGTGAGCATCTAAGAATGACTGGGCTACCATTTCCCTCAGAGCAGTTGAAAGAAGTGTGTCCCTGAGAGTTCTGGCTGGGTGAGTGAGTGGAGAAGGGCAGTGAAGGAGGCTCTAAGCAGGGAGAGAAGCTTCCCTGGGATGGCCTCTCTCCACCGGGAGGTGTCTAGTTCCCTGAGAGCCTTCCCTGCTGGAATTCTGGGGACAGACGTAGTTCAGGGAAAGGGGGCAAGTTCACTCGGAGAGAAGAGATGGCATTTCCAGAAAGCAAAAGGAAATCTGGATTTGTTTTAACTTTGTGTTTTCATCCAATCTTGGTATTTAAAAATTAGGTTTTGAGGGGCACCTGGGTGGCTCAGTCATTAAGTGTCTGCCTTCGGCTCAGGTCATGATCCCAGGGTCCTGGGATCGAGCCCCGCATCGGGCTCCCTGCTCCGTAGGAGGCTTGCTTCTCCCTCTCCCACTCCCCCTGCTTGTGTTCCCTTTCTTGCTGTCTCTCTCTGCCAAATAAATAAATAAAATCTTAAAAAAAAAAAATAGCTTTTGAAGACAAGAGCCCTCATGAGGAATGGAATTATCACTGAAAGATGGTGATAGTCCACTAAAAATGTCCTTCCCCTCCCCATCCACAGACGCAAGCAGACCCTTTGGTAACGGACAGAAGGAGAGGAGGAATATATGAGCAGGGGCTATGCCAGAGAGGGCCCATCTCTGGATGTATTCTCCTCCTCTGTGGCCTCAGACCCTTACTACTGTGAGAACTGGAAGCCCTTTAATTGCTGGTATTGTATAAAGAACAGTGAAGGCTGCTGGTAGCTCAGGGTTAAGTTCCTAAAAAAGAACCCTTCTCTGTCATGTCAGACTTCTGGGCACCCAGCTACCCTCATTCTCTCCCACGCTGGCTTCCCCTGCCTGGGTTTTAAGGCCTCCCAGCACCCACCCCATCCCAGATGCGTTCCCATCGTTCTCCACATGACTTCGGGGAGATCTTTTCTCCATTCTGGAACTTCTATCCTCTCACGTAAGAATAAAAGAGTCTCTACTCTGCCAGCTTGGAACTTCTACCCTTTCTGGAAACCTCTTTAGCAAAGGTATATCATAAAGGTATGAGAAAAGTTAAAAGCAACAACAAACAAACAAAGGGAGCATCTATGTTGCAGAAGAGAACCACTACATATCATGTCCGAAACACAAACGTTAAGGTCATGGGTCTTGTTTGGGTACGTTGTACGTTCTTGGAAAGCAGCAACTGAAGCATCGGGAACACAAGATCTATCAGTCGATCTCTGGAGTAAAACACAGTTGTGATCCTACAGTCTGATAAATGTCTTCACATCATGGGGCCAGGTTCATGTTCCAGAAAAAGTAGAGATGAAAGCAGTGCCATGCTAAAGACTGTAGGAATATTTTAATTCATATGTTTTAATTCATTACGTAATAATAATATCACAGTCTATTTTACAAGTTAAATGTATGAGAATGTATGAAATAGAAATGCTAGGAAAAAAACTAAACATAGGTCAGGAATATGAATTTTTCCAAAACCAGGGGCCAAAGGAAGATGTGTTGCCTGCAGGGCTCAAGGAGGAGGCAGGGCGGGGGCGGGAACAGCAGTGGCTCTCGTGGTAAGCGTCTGTCCCGTGTCACCCTGGGAAGGAGTCAAGGCTCACCCTCTGCCCTGGTCTGGGGTTGGGAGTTGAGTCTGGTCAGTGGAAGATGGCGGCTCAGGAGTTAACAGCCATCTGGTTACCTACACAGAACTGGTCCCCTGGTGGCTGCAGGTGGGTTCTGCCGTACAGGGAATTAGGGGTGGAAGTGTCAAAAACCAAATGTGTGGAGGAAAAAAGTAAACAGTTTCCTCCTTTCCCCCAAAAAACCCAAATTCTTGAAATGCACACACATTCTTCTCTCAAACGTAGAAAAGTCTCACTCTGGATGTGCTTACAAGAAGATCGTCGTCAAAAAACTTTGTCTCTATGATAACATTCCCACTATAAGTAAGAAGAGAGGGCAAAAGAGTGAGTGTGTTAGGCAACAGATTTCATTTCCACAAAGTGGTTTCAGTTTGGGTCTGCTGGGCCCGGGGACATGCACCCACCTTGGCCTGGGGACACTGAAGTCTATGTCCAAATGGGGTTAGAAGTCTAATGTGACGTTTAACTTTGTGATTCGATTTTTTTCTCCTCAAGTTCAGAAAACAGAAGAAAGAGCATGTCTTAATCCTTGATATTAGTCCTTGATACATGTAAAGCCCTTAGCAGAGCGCTCTGCACATAGGGGTGCTTTTAAGTGCGACTTTTTTTTTTTTAATATGACTGACTTTTTGATACACATGGAAACCTGCAGGCCTTAGGGGTGGTATCTTTCCCTACAACACCTACTCTAGTAGACAGCTGTGGGTTGGCCTTTCCTGCATCTATTTTCACCACTTTGGGTAATAGCACTCTGCTCTTCTTTTGGGGACCCACCCCATCTCCAGTCCACGGGTCAGCCAAGTAGCCCCTCCTTCACCTGGCAAAGGGGTGGGCACAGTACATAATTTGGGCCAATCAGACTCTCTCCCCAGAGCAGGATCCTTCCTAAGGCTGCCCCTGAAGGAAATCATCCACGGATTCCTGCCATCTGTATCTTTCAAGCTGCCCGGGTCTCAGTGCCTCCTCTCCCCACCCCCCTTCAGCTGTCATATCAGCTGGAGTCATTTCTATGGCTTGTAGCCAAAGAACCCCAAATGGCACAACTGTATTGCACAGAGTGGAATTTCATTTTTCTTCGTGGATATCTCAGTGTTTCCAAACCAAACCACTCTTGAACCAAGTTAAGGGCAAGAGAGGTACTGCTTTTGGGTTGCAAAAAGTAAAATATGACTTAAAAAACCTAAATACGTCATCACAGACTTAATGGTTTTAGTACCTGAAAGAAATTGGGCCTGGCCAAGGAGAAGTCAATGAAGGTTAATAAAATATAAAAAATGCCCTTCTATATACTACCCTGTACTTTCCTAGGGTAATTAATAGCCAGCAGATATATTTTTGTTGGTAATTAATTATAAAATAGGTACATAAGAAACTCAAGATTTAATTGGCTATTAGAATATAAAAATACCTACTGTTGTAATTAAACATCTATTAAAGACTTATAAAGTAAATAACCTCTATTTACATTCAGTGTGGCTTTCACCAAGGATCTGTTTAAAGGGACAATCCAATATTACACAATTATCTGTGTGAATAACTCATTGCTAGACACTATTACTAAAACCTTTAAAAGTCTAATACCTTTTCCCAAGAGAAAATGGTTGGTGGGCCATTACTGACAGTGTTTTTGGATAAAGGACAAACTAGTTATTCTTTGAGCAGGAAGCATAACTATTAAAATGGTAAGCTAGTCTGTGAAAAACTATAACCAAACATTATACTCTAAAACAAAATTAAAACTTTGCCAGATTCCATTAAAGGCCATTCAAGAAAAGTAGAGTATCAGAAGTTTGGTAGTCAGTGAAGTGAGCAAATTAGCCTAGATTTAATATAGAGTACAGGCCAGTTTTCTCCCATATCATCTCGTTTTAGCCTCACTCCACCTCTGTGAGATAGAATTATTAATTCTATGTTTAGAGAGGAGAAAAATAAAGCCAAAGAGGTAAACATTGTCCAAGATTGCACAGCAAGTCAGGGTTAATCAGGAATTTAGTCTAAAGGTCTAATCTAAAGTTTTTTATTTTTTTCCATTCGATCACACACTGTCTTTTTCATGTGACAGAAGTCAGTAACCTATAAACTCAAATACCCCTGGATACTCTTTACCCTTATTTTCAACCTGGGTGGCCCGCTGAACAGGACCACAAGTCCCCCCGCCTGGAACGCCTGCTTCGAGACACACCCCACAATATCTGTGGTCTGCTCACTCACGTTAGCACGCTGGCGGGCATCATCTGGGACTCGGGCGCTGCCTCTATCAGGGACTGCCAGGTGTTTGTGGAGTTCGGGATCACAAAGCCGAACTCGAAGAACCACTCTGCAAGAAGAAGGAAAAGCTGGTGAGCAGGTACCCCAGACAGTCTCAGGGCTCCTCGTCCAGCCCCTGCCCTTTTAGAGTGAGCCTCTTCTTACCCCAAGAACCACAAATGAAGCCATCAGAAACCTCCCAGGTCAGAGGCATGGGAAAGGTCACGGAAGCCCCCTCGGGCTGTCCTCTGGACCACACCAGAGGCTTACTCCCTATGCTCTAGGGTTTAAAGGACAAGGATCAGTGGGCGGATATAGTATAAGCAATGTTTTCTCAGAAGTAGGCTATGCGTACATGATAAACAGAAGAACAGAATAGGTCTTTCACTTGGAATTTCAGGTGTAAGACACATATGTGCCCTCTTACAGTTCATGGTGGAAACTCAGTGCAGAGTGCCCTTGCCAGTCAGATCCGCAGAAGACAGAGAGCACCGTACCAGGCCCTCATCGGCAGTTTCCTTGTGACCACGTTACAATTCGCCAGTGATAAAGCAGGCACCAACCCAGGCCCACCAGTGTCAGAAACCCTTTTGTTGGGCTCAAAGGCCCTTGTCATTGCCAGCTTTGTTTTTGTTTGTTTTTCCCAGTCTCTCAGGGTGTAGGAATCCCATCACAATCTGTGTTGCAAAGTGAACGTTACCAAAGCAGTGCTTTTAGTTCACTGGGTCCTGCCTTTTCTCCCCGTCACTCTAACTGTGGCTTCCAGCAGTAGGCCACAGAATACCTTCTAGGCATTGCCCTTTGAAGTAAACTTTCTGTTCCAGGCGGAATTTTTCCATTTGCTCTGCTGAAGAGAAGTTCAATTCTCGAGATACTGCCTTGCACTTGAGGATTTTCTTGGGAACACGGGCTGGTAAAGAAAAAGAAATACTGAAGCCATTCTCATTGAAAATCACATACTATGATGCTTCAAGTTTCTGGGAGCTTCTTAGAGCTGATTTAGAGAACACATTATCTATGTTAAATTTCAGAGAATGCCTTGGTAACAGAATTACACTTTTTAATTAAAGACAGAGGTCCCCAATTGGTCAAGTGCATCTGACTGAAATATCTTTATTTTTTTAAAAAAAGATTTTATTTATCTGAGAGAGACAGAGAGAGAGAGGGAGGGAGAGCACAGAGGGAGTGGGAGAGGGTGAAGCAGACTTCCTGCTGAGCAGAGAGCCTGATGCGGGGATGCGGAGGTGTGGGGCTCGATCCCAGGACCCTGAGATCATGACCAGAGCCAAAGGCAGACGCTTAACCAACTGAGACACCCAGGCGTCCCCCTGAAAGATATTTAAGAAACATCAGATGTAGTGCATCTAAGGGCCTTCCCTAGCTGCTCTCATCAGGAAAAAGGCTGAATGGGCACCTTCTCTACTCTGTTCTGTTAGTTTTAACCCCTTAGTTTTTCTTTTATTTCAGGGAGATAAAAATGCAAATTTTCTTTTGGAAAAAAATGTTGAGAGCTTAGTTTATATCTTTAGGTATGTTCTAATGCTAAAATTTCAGGACAAAATGGGTTTTGGGAAGTGAGAGAAAAAAAGGTAGGGAAGGAACTAGGAATCTCAACCACAAACGCTGTGCCCTCAGGGGTTTGCCCATTAGGGCCTGCATTAATTTAGCTCCCTGATGCTTAGGCGCTGCTCCAGAAACATCAGAGCCTTGTGCAGACAAAGGGTTGGGGAGTACCTTCATGCTCCACTCCAGGGACTGACAGGTCTTCTGTTCCTTGCCACAGTATCTTCCCTGTCTCAGCATCCCGGAGGTTCATCCAATTTCTGATCAAATATATTAAGGAAAATAATGCACTGAAGGCGACTCTCAGTTTGTATTCTAGGTGTGTTCTAGCGCTTAGATTTGCTACCAACTCCTGTTTACTTTTTAGCAAGTCGGCCTATCTGCCAAGTGCCATGAAAGCAAATAAGATGGTTTAAGAGGGTCCAAATGACATCCAAAGGAAGATCTTAGCAGAGACCCAGCAGAGATTTTTTTTTTTAAAGATTTTATTTATTTATTTGACAGAGAGAGCACAAGCAGGGGGAGTGGCAGGCAGAGGCAGAGGGACAAGGAGAAGCAGGCTCCCTGCTGAGCAGGGAGCCCAATGCAGGGCTCCTCCTTCCCAGGATCCTGGGATCATGACCTGAGCCAAAGGCAGACTCTTAACTGACTGAGCCAGCCAGGTGCCCCCCAAAGGAGATATTTTTATCTACAACATGAGAACCAAAGGCTACACATCTAGAAATTGCAAGAAAGAGGAGAAAATGAATAGTACAAAATTAAAAAATTTCCAACACTATCAGAGCAGCCAAGATAAAAGACCTAAAGAAACAGATAAGAGAGGTATCCCAAGGAGTGACTCGTGCAGACCACACCCACAGTGAGGATCACATCCCCTAAGTTTTACTCACAAGTCCAGAGATCTCAAGTACCTGTTTAATGGCCTGCTCTTAAATATCAGAAACTAGCCAAGGATCACCAGAAACCAAGGACAGCATTTACTATGAAAGACAGACCAAAACAAAGAGAAAAAAGCAACTCAGAAGAAAAAAGAGACTACAAAGGAAGATACAAACATTTTTTTATTTTTTAAGATTTTATTTATTTACTTGAGAGAGAGGAGAGAGAGCACAAGCAGAGGGAGCGGCAGGCAGAGGGAGAAGCAGGCTCCCCTCTGAGCAAGGAGCCCAAGGCGGGGCTCAATCCCAGGACCCTGAGATCATGACCTGAGCTGAAGGTAGATGCTTAACCGACTGAGCCACCGAGGCACCCCAAAAGATACAAACTTTTAAAAAGAAGTATTAAAAACAAAACAGCCAGAGATAACATAACCCTTACAGACACTAAAAATTATATACAATTGAATTTTGTATATTTTAGGTGATTTTTCTCTGGCTCAAGTTTACAAATTTTGAAGCTAGTCAATTGATAACCTCTTTTTGTCATAAAATGCCAACTTAAGTAGTTATATTTTCTAGTTTCTGTATTGTTCATCATACAATAAATGAATTACTAATAGCAATGAAAAAAACATTCAGAGAACAAAAAAGAATGCTGGAAAAATACACATTTTTTAAAAAAAGATTTTATTTATTTATCTGACAGAGAGAGACATAGGGAGAGAGGGAACACAAGCAGGGAAGTGGGAGAGGCAGAAGCAGGCTTCCCACAGAGCAGGGAGCCCGATGCAGAGCTCGATCCTAGGACCCTGGGATCATGGCCTGAGCCGAAGGCAGACACTTAATGACTGAGCCACCCAGGCACCCTGAAAAATACACATTTTGATAGCAGATCCAAACAACTCAATGCAAGGTTTGGAAGACAAAGTTGAGGAACGCTTTCAGAAAGAAGAATAAAAAGCCACAAGGATAGAAAACAGGAGAGTAAATATACAAAAACTGGATTTCAGTCTAAGAGATCCAAAATCTAACAGAAATTCAAGAAAGACAGAACCAAAAAACCAAGGAGAGGAAGTCATCAATGAATTAATTCAAGATAATTGTCCCAGACTGAAAGGATCTGGCAAGTGCTCAAGTCACATCATTATGAACTTGCAGAACGTCAAGGTTAAAGCAAAGCTTCCAAAGGGAAAACAAGCTGTCACATAAAGGTCAGAATCAGAGTGGGGAAAAAAAAATCAGAATGAATCACACTTTTCAACAGGGACTCTGGAGGATAGAAAAAAAATGAAGCAGTGCCTTTAAAATTCTCAGGGGAATTCCTAAAACTAAAAAAAGATTCACTTTCTCGAGAAACTAATGATAATATGCTACTTCAAAATGACAGGGAAGACTAAGGAAGAAGACGATATTGGATCCAGGAAGCAATGGATCTAAAACAAGAGACAGGTGAAGGAGACCCCAGGGTAAAAGCTCTTCAGCAGGCCTGGAAGGCAACCGGCCAAGGATCCAGACAAGAGCTGGTCAGAATGCTTAGGGAGAGGTTTTAAGAAGATGAAATTCATAGAATATCTGATGTGTTTAAATGGGAAAGATTTATACAGTTTGGGTACATCTGGGGGTTCATTAGTGAGAAGCACAGAAAATCTAAGTAAATGAATAAAAAACCAAGACAATAATTAACATCTGGGAAAAATCAAAGGTGGTATTGGAAGAAAAAAGTAGTCACAGTATACTACACGGCACCATTGCAAACAGGGCTGACGTAGTCACAATAATAAAAACACGGACTATGGATCCAATACCCCTATCCTGGGAGGATGGGGGAAGGAGAAGAGCATGTATGTGTGGTCAGGCAGAAAGTGTTGAGAAAGAACAAAACTCATTTTCCATAGTGGGAAGTCAATAAACAATGCCTAAAACGGAATAGCCACAGTGTGCAATTCAGAAATATGAAGATAAATAGCAAATAAATCAGTTAGAAATTGAAAACAGTTTTCTCTGGGTAATAGAAAATATGAATGGGAGGATGCAGAACGCGGCTCATCATTCAAAACCAGATAGAACTATGACTCCGAGCAATGTACACACACAACTTTGACAAATATAAACACTAAATTTAAAAAGACAGTCCTGAGGGCTTTTCTAAACAATGGACAAATAATTAAAGAAAAATTAATACTATCCATACGTGGAGGCTAAGTCTGAGAAAGATGGTTAATATTTACAAAGAGATGGACCTTCAGATAAATAGTTGATACAGTTTGCAGGTCTTTTTTTTTTTTTCTTTTTGCTGTCTAGCAACCAAACCCTCTTCCCAACAGCCCCCGTGGGAGACAGCGCCTGCCAGGTATTACTGTAACTAGAAGATCCAAATCCTTCCCTCCGGAGCCTGGTGCAGCTGGGGACAAGCACATGACCTAGGCTTGGATGCCTGGGTACCAGCACTAGAGAAAAAGTCAGCAGTTCTTCAGGATGTGTTTCCTGCTGTGTGGCCATTGCTGCAGTCAGTTCTGAAGCCCCAGGGAGCCTTCAAGCTTTCCCATTGTTTGGATAGCTTGCAGTGTTGAACCCAGAGCGTGGTTGATTAGCATCAGTATGCCTGTAATGGTACAGTTAACCCTCTGGAGAGATTCTTTCACGGTTTTGCAGCCACTAAAGAAAAGTCACAGAAGATAACCAAGGGTTACCCTAGCTTCCTGTGCTCTCAACCTGCTTGTGCACTGTAACCCC